TTAGGCTGTTTCATTTGCTACAATGACAAGCCAGGTTTTATGGCATGTCTTTGAGCCAGAGCACAAGTAGCCATGGTTTGTATAAAACATCACAACAACTGATTAGTTAAGGTTGAAGCACATTCTAATTTTAGGACTTTACAATCACTTCTCATGAGAAAATCCTTATTGTGACTATTTTAGGAAACTAGAACAATGCATCATTTTAGCTTATACCTGAGTTATATCATCATGTATTTGCTGGTAAGTCTAACCTGTTGTGACTCAACTGTGTTTGTTGATTTGAACAATCTTGACACTTGATAATTATTGTACATCTGGCTGAGTTCAGCAGTACCTTTAAGAGTAAATATGTAGAACTATAGGAGCTACCTGTACAAGTTGTCCCTTTAGTTATATATACATATATATAACATCTCATAAGAGTTTATACATCAGTATGATGTGGTGTCAGATTTTCTAACTATGAACTACCATATCTTTTCCCAATACAACTTGTTTAGTCTAGTTCTTTTTTTTTATACCTAACAATGCACATCATTTGACCATTAGCAGACGCTCAGGGTTTCATGCTCGGCTGGAGATGAGAGGTCTGGCCTCATCTTGCTTGAATAATAGAGACTGTCTCTTCAGTATTGCACCATTTAAACTTTGACCTAAAATGGCCTGCCACACCACAGTGACCTTGTAACATCTACTAAGTTTTACCTTAATGTCAATATCAACTTATGAGTAAAGCACATTTGAAAACAGCAAAGTTGAACCAAAGCGCTGGACACTGTGACACAGTAGAAAAGCTGAGATAAAAGCAAGTAAAAACACTACATACACTCACACTTTGCTGAAGGCAAATGTGATTTTTAACAGAGACTTGAAAAGGAAAAACTAAAATGTTGGTGTAATATTCTAAGGCGGTTTGTTCAACAGCGCAGGAGCTGCAACTGGAAAAGCTCCTTTACTCTAATATTCAGCCTGGTTTTAGGAACGAGCAAAAGCAGCTGATTACCTGATCTCAGAGTACGGACGCAGGTCAGAGAGGTATTGATAACTGTTTGGCTCACAGGTGCTGTAGCTAGTGGTGTGAGGAGTGGAATTTTTTTTTTTCATGTCTGTGTATTCTAGTAAAAACACAAGCAGCAGCGTTTTAAACAAGCAGGGGTGAGAGGTCAGAGTGATTCCAGCATTAAGTCTACTACGGTAGTCAAGACGAGTTGAGATCGTTTTACTGGAAGAAGCTTTTCTGCACTAGCTGGTTTTGTTGTATGACTAAAAGGAACCAATGTTGACTGCAGCGGTGTTTCGGTGTACAGTTTGTCCTGAACAAAGTAATCTCTGTTTTCATTACTATAGAAAATACAGAGACATTCACGCTTTGATGTCCTGAAGACCCCTGCTCCACGGCTGGTGGAGTGTGAGCTCAGACTTTCTACAGTTTTCTCAAACATTTTGGACCAGAGTTTGGAGATTGGAGTTTGAACAGACTGAGGTGTCGAGGCCAGATTATTTATGAGGAGATTAACCACTGCATGCTTAAGAAGATTAGGGAGCATGCTGAAGTTAAGGCTTCTTTTAATAATACCAAGGACTAAGGGTCCAATCAAGGGAACAAAACCTTGAATAGCCTCGCAGGGGTGGTGTTGGAGGGAGAACCTGTAGATTTGATTTGACTGACTACTTCCTCTAAAATGGTAAGTGACACAGTCTTGAGCTGATTCAGACAGTTGAGCAGGAGATGGAGAGATCAGTTGAAAAAGATCTGACGCAACCTCATCAAATCACTAACCCTGACGCAGGTCTCCTAACAAGTTTCAACCTTTCTTTCAGCATGTATTTTTCCCCTCCCACGTTTGCTCTACCCTCCTGCATTCATGTTTCACTGCTTGGGTAATTTCACACAACCAGGTCTAAAGTGTAGTTAGCTTGTGTCCCTTTTAGGGGCATTTATGTCCAGGACGTTTGTGTCTCTTGCCACTGTGAGAGCAACTCTGTGCTGGAACATGGAGGAGTCTCAAAGTCACTCACAGTGTTGATAAAGGAACACAGGCTGAGAGCAGCAGCAGCAGCAGCAGCAGCAGCATATTGTCTTTTCATTTACAATGTGACACAGCTCGCCTGGAGTGCAGGTTCTGAACTAATCAAACTCATCTGTGGCTCCTGTTGTGTGGCACTTATTACACTGAATATGATTTAACAACTTTCAGGGCTGGAAAAAGTTACTATTTCCTCAAGCTCTTTTCAGCTGTTTGGCTGTTAAAGTTAAAAAATATATTTCTTTTAAATAATCATTATTCCTTCTCCCTTGCCTGACATCCTCAGAGTGCTAAAATAGCAATAGAGCGGGCAAGAGTTTAGGACAAAGACAGTGGAGTCACCAGTGTTCAACCATGTCTCAGTGAAGGAAATCTTATCAAACAGAACAGAAGTTGAATCAGGAGTACAAGCCAGGGCCTGCAAAATCAAAGAATTTATTCTGCAGCTCTTATGATGGGAATGGGGGCAAATGGGAAAACCACACCTCCCTGTACTGTCACTGTAAAAGTATTGACAGTCCTGGTGATGAAGGTAAAGCGTTTCATCTGCCATGTTGTAGATACACAGCTTCACCTTTCCTCATTTGTTTTAAAATGTTATAACACTGACTCTTGATTCATTATGAGTCTACACAGTTTATGTTTGTTGTATTTTTCTGTAGTGTGAAAAGCTATATGTAAACACTAACAGTACCAAATCCTACTCCGTCTGGATTGTCGTGTTTTAGCTTCTGCTAAACTTTAGATAAATCATGGTAGGATCATCTCTCGGGTCTCTCCTCTGTTTGATTGGGCTCATATCTTGTGACACTGTGTTTTTTAACAGAATTTTAATATCAGTATTAGTAGTATTTGGAATGCTGCAGTAGTGAAGATATACTCATCTGGGGGGGCATGGGGCAAAAAGGGTAAGACCGATTAAGATTTGTGAGTGAATCAGGGAGATGACGTTGAGGAGTAAAATGTTTTTCCCATGAACTCTCAGCCTGTGGTCGCATCCTCCTGTCAGCTCTCCGTGGACGTAACCCAAACCCCATATTTCAGTTTTAGCTGAATGCTGTCATTTAAGAAAGCATGTGACTGTGCAAGTATATATTAGAGAGGGAGCACACCATCTGATTTCAGAGTGGAAGATTGCACTGTAAGCAGATGGCTCTGTCCGTATTCTGCTGGAGTAAATGTATTCAGATGCGTCGGTTTGATGAACTGGACATGAATCTTTCCTGATTGGGTTTGAATGCTCGTGTAAAAGTACTTTTTTTTTTATTGTCTTACTTAAATTTCCAACTGTCCTCATTGAACCGTTAAACCATAAACACAATATGACAAACACTTGTTTAGGCTAAGACTATCTTTGTGTCGATGAAACTGTTGCTTTGAGACCTAAATATATATATAAGTGCAGTACAGCCTTGAGACTGTAAGTTATAATCCACTCTGAAATAGACAAGCAGCCCTCCTCACTGGACTGGAGCGTAACCACAAAAATGTAGTTTTGGTCCCAATCAAGATCCAAGATCCAAGACCAGGTCTTCTGTTTCTGAGCAAGAATACAAACGGCAGCCAGCCAAGCATGGAAGACTGGCAAACTAGTACGCACGCCCACTTCACCTTAGTCTGATGTGTTCTTTTGTCGAGCCACAATAAAACCACAGCACTTGGAATTTGAGTTCTTAAACTGTAATAGTAAAAAGAATCTTCCAAATTTCAAGGCTTCAGTCGACCAGTTTCTGGTTGATAACTATGGACTGTGGTTATTAATATGATTTAACTTTCTTGTCTTAATCACATGTATTGGTGCATTTGTGCCTCAAAACAGGGGGACAAACCTGGTAGGTGGAGGTGATCAACAACATTCACACAGCAGTGTCTGCTCTTCCCCTGTGGTGTTTTTTATTAACCTGTGTCAGCCTGCTTGATTTGTGCACAGATAAAGAACTAAAGCAGGCAGGTAAAGATTTGTCTGTTGTATTTCCTAAATTTCCCGAAGGAAACTCCCGAGATTAATAAAGTTCTATCTATCATCTATCTCCTCTTTCTTAAGCCCGATGGAAATGAAATATTTTTGAGGTACTCCTTGATGAAAGAAACATGCAAATCTCCGGGAGCTTGTCTCTGGGGTCACGAGGACTGTTTACTGTAAACAGCCCAGCGGAAAAGTACATCACTGTCTTTTATTTATGGGCAAAGGGAGGACAGAATGTTGACATTTGCTGAGAGCACCCTGCTGGATCACACGATAACTACTGTAGGCACTCTGTGTTGGATTTGGCAGGATGTTAATCTTTGGATTTAAGTGAACATTGTACTGTCCAAGTACTGTACACTCTATTCAAACAGAATATATTTCATATTTTTTATATATTTTTATTTCACAGGGTTTTTTTGTAGCCATCTTACCTCATTAGAACTGGAGATATATGTTATCAGTTAACAGTATCAGAGCTACTTCAGCCAATTTGCTTTAGAAGAGCCGATCTGGGAGCCGAGCCATGAAACATTACTTAAAAAAAGAAAGAAATTCTTTAATTGAGTTATTGAAAAATAAACACTTTGGGCTCATCCCTCTCTCTTTGACATTCAGGGTTACTACAGTGTATACATAACCTCTCGTCTTTCATCTCCCCATGGGCTGAGTGCAAAAGAACAGAGGGGGTTTTCATCAGAGCAGGAGATTACAAGCAGGCAAACACGAAAACTGTTGCCCCTCATTTCCAGTAATACGTGGGTTGTGCTCCCGGTCACCACACTGAGCTAGTTCTACTCCAACGTTGGGGACGTTCTCTGAGCTGTGCCCTCCCCCAACTCTGCTCTCAGGACACTTTTGTGATGTTAATTCACTACGAAGCCATGCAGGACTGTTAGGAGTGAACAGATGTTCAGAGCTGCTGCCACTGACAGTCAGCTCACTTCCGTGATGACAAAGTGCTTTGGGAGGCTGTTAAAGGATTTTATCACCTCCTACTTCAGGTTGACCTAACCATGCCACAGAGGACAGCACTTCCTTTGCTCTTCACCTGAGCGTGGCCCATCTGAAGGATAAGAACACCCATATAAGAATGCAGCCGTTGGATTTCAGCTCAGCATTTAACAAGATCCTCCCCCAGCAGCTGGTGAGCAAACTCAGCCACCTCCAAATCAACACGCCCATGTGTAATTAGCTGCCTGACTTCCTCACTGACAGACCACAGGCAGTCAGACTGCAGGCCCATCTCCCACTCCCCATGGCCTCCCCCTAAGGCTGTGTGTGGATAAATGTTGTTATTGTATTACTCAAGGCTTCAAAGTGAAAGTCCTAGCGCGTAATAGTTGCTGTAAAATTGATTGTTAAGCTGATTTTTAACACTTACATAAAGATAATGAAATGCTTCACATATGCATAAAAATTGTTCAGACCAAAACGAACCTCTCGCTGCAGTAAACATTTCAGACCAAAACGAACCTCTCGCTGCAGTTGTTGTCGGTTCAATTTAGCCTCTGTAAAAATCACATCCAAAAACACATGGGAAAGTCTCTTAAAACACTTGAAACAGGGTCACGTTCTATGGTCGCATTTCATTGGCTAACAGAAACAGCTCAGCACGGCTGAGTGAACTTGTAAAATGTAGTACAAATTTAACAGTCAATGTTCTCCACATTTTATGAATCAAACATCTCATCAGTGAATGAAGAAACATGTCAGCAGAATGTCCAAGAATCAAATGAATGATTTTTTTATAGTAGATGTTGGACTTAATCTGAGTGTTAACATGGAAAAAGAATTAAACATTGTTAGGTAATTAGCTTGACCTTTAAACGTGTGCATTATTGCGTTACATGGAAGTGTCCTACCAATCTGACATATACTGTAGTGTTGGTGCAAATTGAATAGTGCTCATTATGCCTGCAGCTGCTGCAGGTCTATCATTTAAGCACCCGTGCTCTGCATAGTTATCGTGATCTGACATTTAATGAAAGGGAGCATTTGTTTTCACATTTGTGAGACTTTGCATGTGAAAAGGACATCTTTGGATTTCCTCTCTGTTCTTTATACCAATTGTTGCCTAATCCCTCAACTTCAATCGGTAATGCTTGTTTCTACATTTTTTAACGTGTATGTAATGCAGTTATTTATTTTAAAAAAAAGGATTTTCGATGGCACACGCCCCTCTGAAATAGTATTACAGCCTGTGTTTGGGGCGTAGGTGCAAAGTAATTTTATATATATAAAATCCAAGACTAAGTTTTTTTTTTTTTTTTTTTTGTCCTTTCGTGTCTGTGTTGCAGGCTGTTTCCGGAGGAATGTGCTTTTAAACCCCTACAGCCGGGAAATCAAGAGGTGACGCACCTGTGTAGAACCTCCCTGGAAACAAATGGTAACAGTTGAAGTCTGTGTTTCAGCACAGTGTGAATGGTATTCCTGTAGCTACAGTATTTACAAATGCTAAGTGTTTTCTTTTTTATATTTGTTAGCGGCATTTTACCGACATTGTATCTGGTGAAATGGATACTTAAATTTTGTGTTTTTAGGGTTCAGTGCCAACGATGATCCTAAATCAAGTTGCTTTAAATAAGACTAAAACAAATAAGGGGAAGGGGCAGGTGTCATGTACGATCATTCACCATGATTTTCAAAACTGCAGCTGCAGAAACTCTAGAACACTGACTGGTCAAAAGGAATCTCAAAATGTACATTGAAACTTTGATGAATGACATCTGCGGTGCAACCAGTCAGCTCTGTTTGGTCCAGCAGTGAACTAGGTTTGGGCTGCGGACCTTTGGAATTTGGACTCCAGAGTCAAACCATGCTCTCAGAGAAGGTTAAGAAGCTGACTTCAACAAAACATGAAGTAACATGAGAAACGTCATGTGTTGGATTTGAATTTTTCATTGTAGGGGTTATGTTCTGCTTAAGAGTATTTACTTTATATGTAAAGCTAGTTCTTAGGTTCAAAGTGTACCATCGAGCACCAAAAGGGTTTTATGTTTCCCAGTGACAACTATCTTTAGGTCCTAACCACAGGCCGACCCCATAAGGCTTGAATAGATGTAACAGACCATCATCCAACATGAAGGCAGTGGTTTTGCTCACCTAAAATAGTAATGAAAATATTTTCACCTGAAGTTGTCCTTTTCTTCCTCTCAGCTCCACCACCATGCTACCAGGGATGGTACACTACCCTTCAGGGCTAGCAGTCGGAGCACTGCTGTCCTTCCTGCTGTCAGCCACTGTCTGGCCAGTCATCCTACTTCCCAACGCTACTGTCCAAGGATCAGACGTTTCTTACTCCTACCCCACCTTTGACCGCAACGACACTGTGTTTGAGCACCTGGCCCTGCATCCCAACCCTGCTGTTGGTCGGGTTTATGTGGGGGCCCGAGATCTCCTCTTTCAGTTGGATCAGTTCCTCCAAACTGAAATCCAGGATGAAACTGGACCCGTCACAGACAGTCGAGAGTGTTTACCTCCTGTTACAGTAACCAACTGCCCTCAGGCAAGGACGACCAGTAACCATAACAAGCTCCTCCTCATTGATCCTTATTCCATGGAACTCATTACCTGTGGGAGCGTCAGTCAAGGAATTTGCCAGAAAAGAAATCTGGATTCAATAGATAGGGTACTGTTTTCCACGACTCGACCAGTGGATACGCAATATGTAGCAGCCAACCACCCCAACGTTAGCACTGTTGGCCTTGTTGTTAGGTCACATCCTGACAGACAGCCTGTTCTGTTTGTAGGCCGAGGTTACACCAGCAGCCATCCACCTATCTCCACAAGAAACCTAAAGCAGGAACCCATCTTTTCCTACGAGGAGGCCGCCAAATTAGCTGTGGCTGGGCGTCTCTCAGAGTACGACCATCATTTCGTGGCCTCGTTTGCCTACCGTCAGCATGTTTATTTCCTATTCTACAGACGAGATCTCAAGTCACAGTCGCGGGAGTACCGTACCTACATTTCCCGCGTATGTTTGGATGACCAGTCTTATTACTCCTACGTAGAGGTACCGCTGACATGCCGTTCCAGGACAGGGAAAAATTACAACTTGCTGCAAGCTGTCCAGCTGGGGCTCTCTAAAGTCGTTGAGGATAGTCAAGCCTCCGAGATCCTTGTTGGTGTTTTCTCCACCCGGCTGGCTTCATCGTCTCAGCCCAGCGAGGACTCGGCCTTGTGCATGTTCAATCTTGCAGATGTGGATCAGAGGATTAATGCCACCAGGGACCTGTGCTACACAAAGATGGGGAGAGAAGAAGTAGTGGACGCGGCCTACATTGAGTATGAGGTCAAATCCAACTGTGCTAACCTGCCAAACGTGAGTTAAGAACATTCAAATAATGTGTTTTATTGATCCATTAGAAAAACACAAACCTTCACTTCCTTAATGTTTCAGAAAGATGATTTAGGTTCCTGTTTCCCAACTGTCAGCTCTCTTTCAACACCTGCCTTGATAGGCTGCAGATCACTTACTCTGTAATAATGTTGGCCAAACTGTTAACAAACTGTTTCAGTGTCTCAGATTAAGCGTTTGTTACCATGACACTGGACAAAAGAACAAAAACCACGGGATAACTACAGCCTCCCCTGTAGTGATGCTAATGCACTTCATTTGTTACAGTTCATCTATTTTGATTGAAAGGTTGTAAGTAACTGTTAATCACATGGCTCTCTGCTTCCCCTGCACAGCAGGTTTGGTGGATCTTTATAAGGTCAGGTCAGTCAACACTCTTTTCCCAGATTTTACAGTAAAACCACTATTAGTTATTCCCCAAAAATCTCTGCAAAGGGAAAACAACTGAGGCATGTACTGTATTTACAGTCACTATTGTGATACTAGTCTTTTCAAAAACATAGGAGAGCAGAGTGTGTCAAGGTCATCGGTGAACCAGAATTTATGCGACAAGAAACCACTAAACGGAAATTACTTCTTGTAATAAGTTCTCTGACTGCAGACATTTATAGATTTGTTTGGTTTTTGTCCTGAGAAGAACACAAACACGTCCTGACGTGTGTGTGGAACTGTGGAAGAATGCACTGAGACGGCTGTGAAAATGTCCACATTTAAACTGGAAAGTTCTGAGTTATGACCAGGCCTTTTTTGAAGATGGTTGGTGTCGGGCAGGTATAAGGCTCTGCAGACGCCTTATTAACAAACAGACGGCACATGTTCAGCTGGAAACTCTGTCTATTTCTGCATTATCATCAGCAACAAATATTAGGATTTTATTTGCACAGTTTGTTAGTTCTCCAGCTCTGTTCCATCAGAAGTTTTTCTGTCAGTTGCGATCTGACCCTGCACTCTGAACTGAGAATCTCTCACCCACAAAACCACTGATTAGTTTACTGCAAAAAGAAGAGGAAGAGGAAGAGGCCTTTTCACTGATGGTGACAAAGATCCATTGCAGAGTGAGTATTGTTTCACATCAACGCTAAATCCAATACCTTTAAATAAGTTGTTATCGCATGCAATAGAAATGGATGTTAGGGTTTAATCAGTTTGGCAGAATGAAAAAAAAAAACAAGCATGAGAATGGAGAGGATAAACGGCAAAATGAAAAAAAAAACAAGCATGAGAATGGAGACAGGTGAAGGAGTGTATAAGTGACTTAAGTATATCAATATAAAAGTGTATTATTTACTAGGTATATTCAGGCAGTCAATTTGGCACCAATAAAAGACAAGGTATAAACAGTTTTCCCATGATTTTACAGTAATAGAATAATAAAAATAAATAAATCACAGAGCCAGTGGTTTGGACTTTACACTTTACCAAGACTTACTCGCCGTGTTTCTGTGACACTTGAAATGAAAATGAAAACAGGATAAAGAACTTTAGCACAGTTCATATGTATGCCAAAATAATTCTAAGTTATTTTTAATACATGTACTGTTTTTTTCAAAGGTCCAAACATACATGTGGATGTGTGTTGAGAGCTGGCCATGGATGGACCAGACCAGGAAGTCCTTGGATGTCCAGAGAACTCTTATAGGTTGAATAAAGAACATAAAAAAAAAGTCAATGTGTCACCTTTGTCACTTCTATTAGTAGAAGTCACTCCACACAACTGTACTGCAGTTGATACTACAGTAACCAAACAACTTGATTTTGTCTGCCTGCCTGTCTGTCTGTCTGCCTGTCTGTCTGCCTGTCTGTCTATCTGTCTGTCTGCCCATCTGTCTGTCTGTCTGTCTGTCTGTCTGTCTGCCTATCTGTCTGCCTGTCTGCCTGCCTGTCTGTCTGTCTGCCTGTCTGTCTTACACATTTGAGGAACTTCATACATGCTGTACGTACGATCCTTGCACTTCTGGCTGAGCTGGAGAATCTTATACTGCAGCTCCATTATTGGGCATGTAATGCACAGTCGTCCATATTGGCAAGAGGCCTATCCTCCTGAACCTAGACACTGGCCCACTGTGGCTGGTCGTAAGAAATTACATTACCTTCCTTTCAGCTTAACTTGATACAACAGACAGAGGTAAGTGGAGGTTTGAGTTCTAGCTGAAAAGTCATTACAGGTATGGTGTCAAATTAAAAATCCATTTAGACCAACACTTCTGCTATTGCACCATTGGTTATAATCATATTCCATAACTAGATCCTGAGATGGCTGTCTACTGGGAAAGAGACAGTATATTGAGCTTTTTATCAGCTTTAATACAAAGTTTACGGTCATTTTATTGTTACGAATAAAGTGTCCATGGAAACCTCCTTCCTGTTCCCTGAGACATTACTACATTTGTTCAGCTTTTGTCCTGACAAATAAACGCGTCTTTATGTGTCTGTGTTACTGTGGAAGTACTGTACGTATGGGGAGGAAGGAGACGCACAACACTAGTGATGAAGACTGAACGCTGCATGAGAGGTGGAAACGAGTGAAAGCTGGAAATGCAGCACATTTGTTTTGTTTTACATATTTTCATTCAGATTCATAGAGTCTTAAGGCTGCACTGTAAGTAGATAGAAGGATATAGATATGCACACAACAGGAGACTGATTCTTTTATCACATTGAGATTTGTATTTGTTTTTTTGTATTGTAACATAAGAAATCATAAAGCCATATAAATAACTTTTTTAGTGTTGTTGTTACTGTTTTGTACATAAGTAATTTGTTTTGCACGTAAACAACAGTATTTACGACAAACTTAGCAACGGAGCATTAAAGACAAAACTGGAAACTGAAGAATCAGCTGAACTTGGGCCGTCTTAATTGTACCTTGTGGAAAGATGCATATCTAATTAAGTTTATTAAATGAATTAACACCCATTTTCCACCCATCACTTTGATGACCTACACACGTCTTCACAGTGTCCTGTTTTGTTTCTTCTGCTAGAACACACTGGAAGCCTACCCTTGTGGCTCTGACCACACCCCCAGCCCTATGGCCAGCCGAGTTGCCGTGAAGGCCGAAACCATATTGGACAGCCCTTCTGCTCGTCTCACTGCAGTGGCTGTCAGCATCAAGTCAGGACATACAATTGCCTTCCTGGGAGACTCGAGAGGAAATCTGCACAAGGTAACACAGACACAGCATCCACTGTTTGATGGAGTTAACACTGACATTTTCACCATGCTTTCACTGAGGCAGTCTAACGACGACAAACGACCAAACATGAAGGTTATGAAGAAGAACTATTTATAATGTTGAATGAACCCAACAGAGCTAGCATAAAACCTGTGGTCTCGTGATTGACACAGCAGCCGTAGAGGCTGTTTTTCCTCTGTGTGCTGGTCGCGGGTCGAGGCTAGTCACAGGATGTACGTAAACTCGTAGCCATCTTGAAAGTCTTATTAGTCTTATTCCTAATTGAATGTCAAACCTGTACAACATGTGTGTCTTGTGAGCTCTTACAAATACATAACCATTACCATTGATGTGTGTGAAGGTGTTCCTGGGTTCGAATGGTGAAGTGGAGGAGTACTCCGTCACCTCCATTCAAGAGAACGCAGCCATCAGCTCTGACCTCATCCTTGACCAGAAGGAGGAACATCTCTTCATAATGACCCATAACAAGGTATGGCTCCCAACCAACGTTCTATTAGGCCAGTTATTCTGGAAAGATTCTGATTTGCCATTCTTGCTTTCGGTCCTCATTTTAACTTTTTTTTTGTCATGTTTGCAGCTGCAGAAAAGGCCAGTGGCCGAATGTCAGCAGCACCTGGACTGCCACTCCTGCCTGCTGGCCCATGACCCCTACTGTGGCTGGTGTATCCTAGAGGGAAGGTGAGATTTAACAGTGCAGAGCAGTCACCCGGAAACATACTAGTTAATCATTAACACAGACTTCCTGCGGGTGAGCCCAGCGGCCGTCACGTGGCTCACTTGGTATTTGGTTTAATCAGCAGCCATGAACGTGCTTATAGAGTGATGGACAAGAAAACCAGACAAAACAATGTGACCTTTCCACTTCATCATGACCCAGAAGGGTAGAAAGAAGTCTTTATATCAAGTCTTAAAGCCTTAATTTTAGGCACTACAGCAGCCTGGGTGGGTTCAAACCAGCAACCTCTCGGGTTACAGGCCAACACTCTAAATGACTGCACCACAGAGACTTTCCAATGACTGTCAGTCACTCAGAGGCATTATTTGTGTTAACATTTTTACTCAGATCGTGACGATGGATTTAGCTGCATTAACGCGTCCATTTTGACAGCCCTAATTATTACAGTCCAAACTGGAAAGTTCGACATCTTCCATGACCGTACTTATGTTTAATATTAATATTCAGGAGTTAGACGTGAGACAGATTGAGGTCGTCGTGACTGTTGTGTGATGATGCTCTTTCCTCTGCAGGTGCACGTTGCAGTCGGAGTGTGCACGTGGGAGCCAGCCAGGTCAGTGGCTCTGGAGCTTTGACATAGAGCTGCAGTGTCTGACTGTGCAGCACATCAACCCCTCCAACATCAGCAGGGACGAGAGCAGGATGGTAATATAAGTTAGGTCTATCAAACCATAACAACTTTCTGATTCAGAAAACTAGTAAGATTTCCCTCTTCTTTCTCTGGTCGATGTAGATACACCTGTCGGTGCCAGGTCTCCCACTGCTGGAGAAGCATGAGTCGTATTCCTGCTTCTTCCAGGGCGTCCACAGCACTGCTACTGTCACTGAAGCTGGAGTCACCTGCCAGTCACCCACAATCACCCAAGTACCCTCTGTGCCTCCAGGACAGGGTACGTTCCCTTCACTCAGTTATTGATCTCCTGGAGTTGACTTGACTGCCTGTTCTAAGAACCCAGTTATCATGTGTTTTTGCAGGTTCTGATTCTGAAACTCCACATGTGCATACGGTCCAATACCTCAACTAAGAATCTGGGCATGTAGAACTACAGATACCCTACGTAAAATGAAGTACATGTTGTACTACAAAGTACTAAAAGTGTACTACTCAATTAAAAGTCTATTTTAAAAATCTATTTTTTATGTACTTAAATATTGAAATAAAAAAGAGATTTGTCTAAACTGATAGCCAACTAGTACTTCCTCAAGACTGAAGTCAAAAGAAACCGATTCAGACAATGTTTAAGAAGTTAGCTTTTTTAAATTTGACTGTTAATCCTCGGCTGCTTTTCCTCCAGAGCACCTGTTGAAGTCAAGTCCAACCCTGTTTGTATTTGAACTCTAGGCTAAGAATGAAGAGTTCACAGACTGGATATGACTCCACCTGTGTTGGCTGCCTAGACCTGAACCTCTTTGATTCTTTGTTTTTAGGAACACAACACTGATCCTAGACCTTGTAATCTGAGAAGATATTCCTGAGCCAATAGCCTATTTGTCACTGAACATGCTGTCTCTCTCTCTCTGTCTCTCTGTCTCTCTCTCTCTCTCTCTCTTTGTTTCTCTTCTTCTTTGGTTCATCCCTCCAGACTCTGTGACAGTCACATTGTCACTTTGTTTTGGTGACGTCAGAGTCACCGGACATGATTTCATCTTCTATGACTGTATGGCTGTCAAGGAGCTGTCTGGCAGCATGCCGTGAGTTACCACTGGTTTTACCGTGCCCTTTTTATGGACATGTTTGTTTATTTCTGTGACTGTTTCATGACTCACCATTGATTTGCCCCACCTTATACATGTCCTCATTTCTAACCTCTGCCCAGAAACTGTTAGCCATGTGTCTAATTTCTGTCTGGTGACTTTTGCAGCTGCCGTGGTTGTGTTCTGAGTCACTGGGGCTGTAACTGGTGTGTTCATCAGCACCTGTGTACCCACAAACCCACCTGTGAGCAGGGAGTCATTATCTACAACCAGCATGTAAGTCGTTGTTGCACATCATGTTCCCAGATTTACATGTGTTGCTGTTTAAGGTATTTTAGTAGCAGAGCTACGTCAAGTCTTGTGGTAGTAGTAAGTCCTAAATATTCTTCAACATTTACAGTCTATGAACTTGGTTGTATATTAACAAACACACACAACGTCTGCCTTTAACCCATCACCTTAGTCGACACTTAACTTCCTTAACCAGCAGGCCTACAGTACTGGAAATCCCGAGATAAAATATTTTATATAAATTTAAATCACATGAAAATGTCTTTAGAATCTGAACCACAACTTAGAGCCAAGTATTAAAAATTCATTCTTGAAAACGAGTCATTTAGTTTAATATTGTGGACAAAACACTAAAGGAGTCTGCACTCAGACACTGTAATGTTGTGCATTCAGTTTTTAGTTTCTTTTTTCTTAAAATCTAAAACTAATATTAGGTGATGGTTGACATCACATTTTTATTTCTCTTTTATTGTCTCCTTATCCTCCTCCTCCTGAAGTTTGAGCTTCCCATCTCAGCTCCTCTCCCAACTAATCCCATTAAAGTCAGCACAATGTCCAGCATCAGCCACACCATCTTGACCTCCACCTCCACCACCACCACCTCCACCACCACCACAACAACATCAGCTTCAACAACATCAGCTGTTACCTCATCCATTACAACCAAACCCCAGGCCACGGTACCAATAACCAGTCAGCCAACCACCGTGCCGCCCATTCCACCGACCACAACACTCAGTCCTGGACTGACCACCGTGACGACTCGACCTCCCGTCACACTGCAGCCTACCAGGCCGGTTGTGACCATGCCTCTGACCTCAGAAACCACTGTCATGAAGACACTAAAAATAGCCGCAAGAGACGAAGATGTCATTGTTGTCACCCAGGGTGACACCAAAGTTGCTACGGTTACGCCCAAGGTGGTGATGGCTGCAGAGTTGTTGCCCGTTACTGCAGTGAATCAGGAACCTGTGATCGCTCTGATGATCCCCGACACGTCCCCACAGATGGTGGTGACCGAGTCGCTCCGCAGAGAAGCTGAGGGAGACCTTCCCGTGACGGCACCGGCCGTCCTCCCGCTTCCATCACCCCTACCTACAGAACACTCTGAGCTGGAACTGACCCAAACGCCCTCTTTAGTGGCACCGACTGAAAACACTCGGACTCAAGGCCCAGGTGTTTTTTCTGAGGTCCTTCCCTGGCCAGAAGAGGTGGATGCTGAAGAAGAAGACAAGTTAGAAAATGAGGGCGCCACATTTTCAGCTGCCGTCGTGTTGTCAGGTGACGGTGAGGTTGACCGTGTCGCCACATCCTATCCCAACCTGTTGGATATAGACTCAGGGATGGACTTCCAGTATGACGCAGCTGATGACTTACTGATGGTGAGTTCAGCCACCCGTCTGAGTGCTTCCTTGTCTTCTCCTCCTCTACTGCTCTTCCTTTCGAAGCTGCAGTTCGAACCCTTCACCCTCTGCCTTGACTTTCTACCTGCTGCTGTTGAACTGAAAATGAAAACATCTTCAGGATTAACTCTTGTTACCGCCGCTCGACTCATGTTGTTGTTTAAATGTTTTCCACATATAAATGACTATTAACGCGTGAGCTGCTGGAGTTGTGAATTTTTTTATACAGAATATAATAGAATATTTATACAGAATAACCTGTAAGTTGCAAGAGTTGCAATTCAGACACACATTTACAGTAAATACAGCTTATAATTGCACAAAAAAAAAAGCTCATAACTGCATCCTGCTTTCAAGTCTTATCTTTAGTGCTGACATCTAGTGACAAATTGTCCTGTAAGTAATTCACTAGTGGATTATGATTGATGTGTGCACATATACAGTAATAAGTCATGGTAAACAGAACAGCTGTCTGACATGTAACCTGAAGGGAGACGCCCAGTCTGTATCCAGTCAGGCAGCCTCATCAAACTGCCCTTCACATGTTCTAAGCTGTTTTTGTATTTTATGTATTTTGTGTATTTTTAATAGTTAGATTTCCTTCACAAAATAGGCCATTAATTACAATCTCCCATCAGGCTTTGCCTCGGAGGTGTAGTTCACCCGCAGTTTCCTGCCGTGGTATTTACTGTGTTTAGAATGAAGAGATTTTCATGCAGTGTGTGTCTGTGTGTCTGTGTCTGTATCTGATCAAACACAGGGGGATGAGGGCTCCTTTGTCAACTGGGGCGCCTCAGCTTGTCCATGTGTTGAAAAGGTTCAGGGTTCCTCGCTGCTTCCTGTGAGAGTTGACAGGAAGATTACTCTACTGGCCCGCAACCTACACCTATATGAGGTAGCACAAAAACACACACCAGAAAGATCAAGACCATTAAAGGGTCCCTAGACCTCTGCTTGAGAACCTGCATTAACAACAGTTGTTTGTGTTCAGGACACAGAGTTGGAGTACGAGTGTGTGCTGATCATTGAAGGCCAGACTGTGGTAGTGGACACCTATGTGGAGCCTGATGACATGGATCCCTACAGCTTTGACATCACCTGTCAACTGCACCAGGTGGGGCACCAGGAATACACCGTATGTAGGAACCTGTCACTGTTTGGGAACAGTTTCTAAACTATGTTCTGCGTTGGCTCTTTGTCCAGTACACATACTCAGCTCCGGTGGAAGAGTACAACGCCATGGTGTACGTGAAGAGGAAGGACACCTTCCACGTGGACAGTTCCACGGATCTTTATGGTACGAACAAAGTCTTTGGTAAATACAAAGGACAAAATGTTAAATTCTTAGTATGGTCCACTCCCACAGATTGTTTTCAGAAACTTTTAAGTTTTATTTATTTATTTCAAACATACAACGACAAAACAACAAACATTTAACATCAATCATCATCAGCTTCTAGTGCCTGTGCGCTCCAGTACTGAAGCAGTCCTTAATCCTCTGTTTAAAGTGCTCTGTGTTTGGTACAAAAAAATCCACTCCAAAATGTTGCTGTGATTTCCTGTGTGTTTAAATCCTGAAGGCAGACTGTTCTCTTTTGGTTTTTCTTTTTTTTTGCATCAACACAGCATTTATAATATTGTTATTTAGTGTAAAAAGAAAACCTATGAATACCAGCTGAACTCAATGTTTCAGTTTCTCCAACAAAGTTGTAACTAACAATGGCATAGAATGTCCCTTTAAAATATGTCATTCCTATGAATCTCATACAGTAAAACACACGGACTAACGATCCTCTGTCTGTTGTCTCTACAGTGACGTTGTACAACTGCTCCGTCGGCCGTTCTGACTGTAGTCGCTGCCAAACAGCGGACAGGAAGTACAGTTGTGTGTGGTGTGGCAGCGCTCAGGCCAGCTGCGTGTACACAGACTCGTGCGGTCAACCTGTCCAGCTGACGTGCCCTGCTCCCGTCATCAGCTCTGTGGGTACACCTTTCACTGCGTTCATCTAGAACATCAACAGGAGGAAAACGGTTCTAAAAGCTCTGCTCTCTGCCTCAGATTGAGCCTCTCTCCAGTCTGCTGGAAGGAGGCTCCCTGGTCACCATCCAGGGCTCCAACCTGGGTCAGAAGGCTGAAGACATCCTGACCTCCGTGACTGTCGCTGGTGTGACCTGTACCGTCATCCCAAACCTTTATGAAGTCTCCTCCAGGTAAACACCAGCTGCTCTGTGGGTCTGTCTGGGGTTTGGTTGTGTCAAGGTGTTGTCTCTAATACCGTACTACAGTTATAACGGCGAGTACAAATATTTTTTTTCTCATTTTTAAATAACTAACTAAATTATTAAATTAAAAGAAATACATCAAGGGAAAAATTAAATTATTATTATCATCTAGTCAGGGGCCAGATGAGGGGGGTTCACGGCCAGAAGTGGTCCACAGGTTGGACAACCCTAGCTTAGAGTGGGACTAATGTTATATTTATAATAACAGCTGACCTGCAGATGGCAGACTTTCTGCCTTTTCTCTCTTGATTACTACACTTCTGTGCAAAAGAAAAACAACATTTACATTTATATTTTGAGATTAGTAGATTCTTATTTTAGGTGGTTCAAGTCCCATAATCTAATGTTTCATTTAAGAACTTCTGTAGTAATCTGGTTATTGTACAGCTGGAGGTGTCCTCATCACAACATGCCAGCCCTCACACTGTATTTCTGAGTGAAAAGTTATATGTTTATAAATAGAAAAGTGAAAATGACATAACCATTCTGTGATATGTGTCTTCTAGGATTGTATGCAGGACCAAAGCCAGTAAAGAAGAGAAGTCAGGCCTGGTCTATGTTAAAGTGAATGAAGAGTTCGGTGCATCCAGCCAAATGTTCAGTTACCAGGTACAGGACATCAGTCATTATACTGTCACAGATTATTATTTAAAAGTACTAATTGTACTGTATTGGTACTCGGTATTGGTGATTACTCCCAAAGGAAATATACGTATGATGAACAGGGTCAGCTTTTGGCTGCTGGGGTCGAGGGAACATGGAAAACTCCAGCTGGCTTGACTGTCGGCCGTCCTTATCTGTCCCTCTTGGGGCTCAGTATTCCGACCTACAGTTGCCCTGGTTTTTGTTCTTGGAATTGTGTGCTCTCAGTTATAGGTTCTATGATTCCCAGGTCCAGCACTGGTTTCATTGAAGCCTCTACTTCTGGTCTTAGGGACAATGGGACGTGACGAGGTGTGGTGTCAACATAAGGCTCAGCTCCTGGCTTCACTTCAATTTAATCTTCATTTAATCTTTTAATCCATTCTTAAAACTGCAGCCCCTCCCCCAACAGATCTGCCAAACTGTCCTTTCATTACAGAGACACAGACCCATGAGCAATACTTCCTGTGCTCCTTTATACAGGCTGCAGGTGAAGACACATTCAGCCTGGGCCTGTTGCTGTCTTTTTAGTTTATTATTAGTACTCTGGGACATTACAGTAGCATCAGCTCCTCAGACGGCTGTGTACTGGTGGTGTTGTCGTCCTGATGTCGTGAACATGAAACTCTCTGTGTCGGCTGGTGCCACTTTATGATACTCAGAGTGCCAGATGGAATAAAATTCAATTTTATTCCATCTGTGTCTCACACTGGACACAGTCACTTCTTTGTGTGCGCTCTATTACCACATGAACATGTAGACTTCCTGAGCTCTGGGCGGTTGTGCCGATGCTGTCTGCTATTGTACGCTGCTTCTGAATTCTGGTGTTTGGCAAGGACTGCAGCTTGGCACTGCAAGTCTCCTCTAACTCCCAGAACACTCTTTAAAATCGGTGAAAACAATGTCTAAGTTAGTGCTTTTCTGACTTATAAAGGATCCATTTGTGATGGGAGTGTCACCTGAGAGGGGGCCCAAAGCTGGAGGAACGTCTCTGACAATCACTGGCCGACACCTGCTGACAGGCCACCCGTCTGACCTCAGCGTCACCGTGGGAGGAGTGCCCTGTACAATGTGAGACACAAAGACTGAACTTGGTTGAACTTAGTTACAAGTTTTAAAAGTTTCCTCTCTACCAATTTCTGTAGTTTGGCTTCAGATAACTAGGTTGAAAACAACATGATATTTGTATATAAGTGTTGGTCTGAATTGTGTCATCCTGTGGTTCCCCTCAGTGTGTCAGAGGTGCTGGAGTCCAGTGTTCACTGTGTGACTGGCAGAAGTAATAAAACAGGAGACCACCGCATCACTCTGCACTACGGCAGCAACCAGCGCCACCTCCACACAAAGTTCTACCGCTACACAGACAACCCCGACCTCACCAGTGCCATGCCGTCCAAGAGCTTTGTGGAGTAAGTCTGAGCATCAATTCTTAGTCATTTTTGTATTAACTTGAAAAGCTTTTAAAATTTCAAACCTTTTTTTTTTTTTCTCTGATTAGAGGCGGACGGTTAATCTTCGTGTCAGGTCATAATTTGGATGTAGTTCAAGAACCCCAGATTGTGGTAACGGTGTCCTCCTCTAAGTCTATCAGCCAGAGCTCAGTGAAGAGGAGGAAAAAGAGGAGCACAGTGAGGAGAAAGGAGGGAGTTCCAACTACAGGAAGGAGAGTTAGGAGGCTTCATGAAATGGTCTGTTCTGAAGACGCACTCTGCTCTGTCAAACAGGTACGTGTCTCTGTGCAACGACATCTTTCTTAGACTCTGACGAGGACAAGTACAGTGGTCCCTCTCTCGTTGCGGTAGTTGCGTTCCCACCGTGAATTGAGAAAATCTGCAAAGTAGAAGCGAGATAGTAATTATATTATTTACATATATATATTTATCTTAACCAACCTCCCCCACACTGGTATCAACCCTCTGTAGACTGTATCACCCTCCCACATAATTATATACACAGTAGAGTTGTTTAATGGCCAATCAGAGTGAGGAACAGAAGAGCATGCTCAATTAGCCAATAGTACACACAAGTACACATTGTTTTAGCCAATAGTATGCTGTGTACAATCTCGTCTAGGTAAACAATGCTACCAACAGTCGTTCGCAAATTTTAAAGTTTATTTTGTGCTATATTTCGCGAGATCAGATTTAAAAAAAAAATCTGCGATGTACTCAGGGAGCGAAAGGAGAACCGCGATACAGAGAGAGGACACTGTACTTAGAACTCTGTTAGTCTTTATTGGTACAAACGAGACTTAGTTTGAGAGGCTACAGTTCAGTTAGTGACAGTGAGATGTATTTTGTCATAACTGTCCTCACAGGAACGAAGACTTGTGTGTGTGTGTGTCTTCACTGACTGTCCTTTTGGAAACACTCCCTGTTTTTTCAGTTCACTGAGCGCTGTGTAGTGAACTCTTCCTCCTTGTTCCTATGTCGCTCTCCAATGGTGGACTCGTCAGTCCCCGGGTCAAAGGTCACAGTGGAGTTTCTCCTGGACAACCTCCGCTTCGACTTTAGCAGTCTGAACCAGCAGCCTTTCAGCTACGAACCCAACCCCGTCCTCCGTTGTCTGAACCAACAGGAACCGCTCAAAGCCTATCGCTACAATCCTGGGAGTTTCATCCAGCTGGAGGTCAGAGAGAGTGAGACTTCCAGTCCTGCAGATCACCAGTCTGAGATCTCTGAATAACCCGTTAGCGTTGAACCTGGAACCACCTCTGTAAAAGTTTCTTTATTACTGTGTCAGGGTGAAAATCTGGACCTGGCCATTTCTAAGGAGGAGGTGGTGGTGCTAATAGGTGAAGGTGTGTGTGCTGTCAAGACACTGACGAGAAACCACCTGTACTGTGAGCCCCCACCGCAGCAGCCCGCACCAGGACTCAACAGCAGGAAGCTGGAGGGCTCTGACAACCTGCCAGAGTTTATCGTGAGTTCACTCGACCTTTTTAGTCACAGGACAGTCCTGATGATGAGAGTGTGGCGCTGAAATATATATATATATAAAACAAACAACGTCATTCTGACCATCTGAGCTGTGTGTTTATTTGTTTCAGGTCCAAATGGGCAACCTGAACTTCTCCCTTGGTAAAGTCCTGTACGACAACCTCAGTCCGTCCACGTTCCCCCTGGAGGCAAAGATCGGTGTGGGAGTGGGCTCGTCTATTGTAGCGTTGATCGTCCTCATCATCGTATTCATCTACAGGTCAGTTGGCAGTGTTCTCATGTGTCTAATTTATTTTTTAATTTAAAGTATCTTACTAGTCTCATCTTAAAACATTTTTTAAAAATAATGGCTTCATTGTAGGTTATTACAATTCTATTAATACACAGTTAGAATTGTTACCTCTTTTTCCTCTGATAATGAAAACCCGACAACACATGGGTGTTGGCACATATGCTGGAATCTCCTGCACGGTCCTGAGACGTTTACCTCAGTTTTGGGGGCAAACGGCTGCATATACCGGTATCAGTTGATATCGTAAACATGTTTGGACAATATCGGCATATTGATATCGGACATCCCTAAGTGTTATGATTTGTGATTCGCAGGCCCCAGTTGGCCTGTCAAGAAATTACTGTGTTATATGGAAAAGACAAAACCTAGTTTTTAAAACACAATAATCCATTATATGATTTCAGGCTGGGTAAAAGTGATGTTACAAAAACAATACTTTCATTATTAGATTTCTTTCTGCTGTAGAGATGAAGTTATCAATAATATCTAGGCGTCATGAAGAACTTATTTTTGTAATCTTGACAGTTACTGTCTTATGGTTGTGTCCACATCTCCTTTCAGCCTGTGTGTCCTTACTTATCCACTGAAGGAGTGTTCAGTTCCCGTCTTCTTCTTATTTCAGTCCTCTGATATCACATGTGTTGTTTTCTGTCAGGAGGAAAAGTAAGCAGGCTCTTAGGGACTACAAGAAAGTCCAAATCCAACTGGAGAACCTGGAGACCAGTGTGAGGGACCGCTGCAAGAAAGAGTTCACTGGTAAGAGACTGTAAAACGACTAAAATGACACTGCTCCCTGGTGCTTAAATCTGCCCACTGTTCACTTTGGTGATGGGTTAAAGCAGAGGTCACAGTTGGTGGTGTTTGGTTCCAATGGTGAGTTGTGTCACAACGACAAGGAGTTCATGTTCACTCTTACTTCACCTAGTCAAACATCTCAAACGTCAGTTAAACCACAGCCTGTGTCCGTTAACACCGTTGTTTCCACTGTCGCAGACCTGATGACTGAGATGATGGACATGTCCAGTGACCTCGTGGGCTCCGGAATCCCGTTCCTTGACTACCGGATGTATGCTGAACGCATTTTCTTCCCCGGCCACAGAGAGTCTCCTCTCAGGCGTGACCTCGATGTCCAGGACTGTCGTCGACAGACGGTGGAGCAAGGCCTGGTGCAGCTATCCAACCTGCTCAACAGTAAACTCTTCCTCACTAAGGTAGTCCCCACCTTTGTGCAAAATGACACTCCCCTAAAGAAACCCCAGATTTTACAGATTTACACACCTGTTATTTTTCTTTTTTTTTCAGTTCATTCACACACTGGAAAGCCAGCGAACCTTCTCCCCGAGGGACAGAGCTTATGTCGCTTCCCTGCTGACTGTGGCCCTTCATGGCAAACTGGAATATTTCACCGACATCCTCAAAACTCTCTTGAATGACCTCGTTGAACAATACGTGGCCAAGAATCCCAAACTGATGTTGCGACGGTATGAAACGACAGATGAATCCTGTGGAGTAAAGGTTGTCTTTTTTAATAGTTTGCAGTGTAAAAAACTTGGTTTTTTTTTCTTCTGCAGGACAGAGACGGTAGTGGAGAAGCTCTTAACCAATTGGATGTCCATCTGTCTCTATGCTTTCCTCAGGGTCAGTCAGCTCCTCAATTGCATGTTATTCAACTACTGGTCTGATTCTAATATTTTTTTATAAGGTTTAAATTCACTTTAATGCTGTTTTGTTGTTGACTTCTACTGTATTATAATAATAAGTAATTAAATGGAGTGAATGAGTCATAAAGCAGTAATGATTTCACTCTTAACTTAACAGTAAGTAAAAACCATTTTTTTGGAGGTTGTTCCATAGTGGTCATCTCTGTTGTGTAATGCAGCAGAAGAAAATAAAAGTATCTTTTAGAGCTTTTTATGACATCTAAGAGAAGTTATCAAAGTACGATTTGTAGAACAGTTTTCTAACAAGACGTGAAATTATTTCAAGTCTCAATATGAACATCAGTGCCGCCCCCTCTCTGTCTCTCTGTGTGTAGGACTCAGCAGGAGAGTCTCTCTTCATGCTGTTCAGGGCCATTAAGCACCAGGTGGACAAGGGACCAGTGGATGCTGTTTCTGGGAAGGCCAAGTACACTCTGAATGACAACCGACTGCTGCGAGAGGATGTGGAGTACAAGACCATGGTGAGGACACACTCTGACACCTCATCAGTTTAACTCAGGTTTTTCATCTTCCATTGGAAGCCGTTCAAAGTGTCCTCTTCAGTCAGAGCTCTGCTGAATGTCTTTTTTTTTTTTTTAATTATAGGGTATGAGCCGGGGATGTTGAGAGAAATAGATAACGCGAAGCCCACAGTCATTTTGATATTTTATTTGAGAAGTGACATCATAACAGGACTGCCTACTGGAGATTAGACACTTTTATCCAAACTTTGCAGGTCATTAATTGCTTTCGTGACTGACGATCACTGTCTACTTTTTCAAATATTTTCCTGCAGACTCTGAATGTGCTGGTGCAGGGTGGAGGAGTGAATGAAAACCAGCCACTGCCTTCCAAAGTGCTGGACATTGATACCATCACACAGGTGAAGGAGAAGCTGCTGGATCAGGTGTTCAAGGGAACATCCTTCTCCAACCGACCCCATGCTGACTCACTAGACCTGGGTAAGACTTTGAACACACCACCGGACGCACCCTGAGAACAAATTATGAACATAATTGATGATAAACTTAAAAACTCAAGTAATCTCAAGCGTTGATTGAGGCATGTTGAAGTTCTTTATAATTCACATTATAATTCTGTTGGGCCAAATAAGGATAAAGTGCAGGTGAATGATTACATTAAATATGTATAATTTCTGTTATAACAAATTGTTGAAAAAGAACAGTGCAATTCCAGCTCTATACCTAAAAAATTAAATTTAGGTTTGAGCAGTTTATGAGGCACCGTCTGAAACTGTAGGGCAGTAGGTCAGCTGAAGTCAGACTTCCTGTAACCTGAACCTGCCTTCAGTCTGATCCAATCACTCAGATGGAGTGGAATGGAGGAAGAAGTGCTTTCAGATTTGTAACTCAACCACATCATCACTGAGCACTGCTTTTTTCTTTTTTTTTTTTTATTTTGTACAAATTTATATAATGTTACTTTAAGTGCGTCTTTAGCACATTTTCACTTTTATCTGTCAAATTAAATTGAAAGTGAAACGGCAATGTTGATTGAGCTTCTCTATTCTCATTTCTCCAGTTGTAACACTGTAGTTTGTTGTCTTGGACGTGTGTCTTTGTAGGACTGAAACATAATCTGAGGTCCAGAATACTCTGGAGCAGGTCAATGATCAATGATGTCTCTGTACAGTACTCCACTCAGCTTTCCTTCTGCCCTGAAATTTGTCCAAGTTCCTGCTGTCCAAAAATGTGCCTGCAGCGTAATGTGATGAGTGGCTGTGTTCAGACGTGACATTTGGAATTCACTGCAGCTCCTGATTGGTCTTTGTTTAATCAGATTTAGATGAAGGTCTTAAGAAAACCACGTACAATGGCAGATTGAAGCACACTCACATTCACTGTGATAAACTAATGATCCGACGGTTGTGTCCTGTTCAGAGTGGAGGTCGGGTGTTGCCGGTCATCTCATTCTGTCAGATGAAGACCTGACGTCGGTGATTCAGGGCAACTGGAAGCGCTTAAATACTCTTCAGCACTACAAGGTGCGTGGTCTCACTCAGAGTACATTAGACAAACCCCTCTGATGGTTCCTTCATGCTAACTGAGTGTGGCCTGGTCACTTGTCAGGTCCCAGATGGTGCGACAGTTGCTTTGGTCCCTCGTCACAACAAACACATTCACCACGACAGCCACGACTACGTAGCAGGAGAGAGTGAGTCGGCATGTTCTTGTTCTTTGTTCTGTGTCTGACTGTAGATGTCACTCACTGTCCTGCTTTATTCTCTGCTCATTCTAATCATTTTTGAGCCACGTAAAGTCATTCAGTTTAAGGATGAAACATGTTACTGTAAGCAGAAACACCAATGCTGGAAGACGCAGATGAAGGAGGAATGCGACTGTGGCATCTTGTCAAAGGCAGTGAAGAGCCGGAGCTGCCCAAGCACCGCAGGGGCAGCCTACGGGAGAGGGAGCGGGCCAAGGCCATCCCTGAGATCTACCTGACCCGTCTGCTGTCCATGAAGGTAGGTCCAAACTGACACCTGGCCCTGGGCTTCCTTACCATTTATTCACCAGTTATTAAAGCACTGACCTAGTAATTAATATTACAACCTCTCAGTGGCATTTGGTAAAACTGCCACAAAGAGAACTGAGGAGAACGTGGCAAAAACTGTCAGAATTCATCGGCTCGTATGGTTTTCCACATCCTAACACACAGCTGTGTATTCTTCCCTGCTCCAGGGTACGCTGCAGAAGTTTGTAGACGATCTCTTCACGGTGATTCTCAGCACCAGCCGCCCCGTCCCACTGGCTGTTAAATATTTCTTTGACCTACTGGACGACCAGGCAGCACAACATGGCATCCTGGACCAGGAGACCATCCACATCTGGAAAACCAACAGGTACAGAACCTGCACCGTTCTGTATGTAATATATATACAGTATATATACGACCACATGATTTGATTTTCTTTGATAATAAGGAACGACAGGTTTCACTAAATGTAATGGAGTAAAAAAATAGACTTTTTTAAATTTATTTTTTTAAATGTCAGAATCGAAATCTTAGCAGTCTAAGAATGGCAGCAGATGTTTAAGTCCATCGAAGCCTTTGTTTAGTTCCTCCTACTGCAGTATAAACTAAATACTACAATGATACTAAAAATATATTTTTGACCAAACACGAAGCTGCAGATCATTGGTTAATGATTCAAAACAGCTTGGTCTGGAGATTACTGTTGTTGAAGCCACATGTTGTTTTCAGTAGACAGAGAACAAACAAAATATTTTCTGGGTTTTTTTTTTTTTTTCAGTCTCCCCCTGCGTTTCTGGATCAACATCGTGAAGAACCCTCAGTTCATTTTTGATGTCCAGGCGTCGGACCATGTGGACGCCGTCCTCTCCGTCATCGCACAGACATTCATGGATTCATGCACTATAGCTGAGCACAAGCTTGGACGGGTGAGGGGAACTGACCTGTCATTAATTCCTCACCTGTTCGTTTGTGTGTTCTTTAACACTGACCATTCTGGTGTTTTCATTTGAGAAGGACTCTCCCATCAACAAGCTGCTGTATGCCAGAGACATCCCCCGGTACAAGCAGATGGTGGAAAGGTGGGTGAAGTGTTGATCGACCTCAGGCTCTGGAGGTCATTGAATTCCTTTTCAGTTTAACTTGTGAACTGATTCATTTGTCATTGCTTTACTCCACATGTGGGTAGGACTTATATTCAGGGATTACATGTTTGTCTTTTGGTCTTTGTGAACTTGTGGTGGTTGCAGGTACTACGCTGACATCAGGCAGACCATCTCAGCCAGTGATCAGGAGATGAACTCTGCTTTGGCTGAAATGTCCAGGGTGAGAGAGACACACACACTAAGACACACTATAGACAGACACCGAGACACAGTGTCACCACTTACCTCAACACTTTGTATTATAGAACTACTCTGGAGAGCTGAATTACCTGGTGGCATTGCACGAGCTCTACAAGTACATCAACAAATACTATGACCAGGTGAGTTCCTCCTGTCCTGTATTAATGCAGCATGTCCATTTCTGTCACCTCAGTACTAGTCCAGAGTACCGGAGCGAGGACAAGGTGTCCAACCTGATGCCTGTCCACATTTTTAATTTTTATCGATGCTCTTTTCCTTATTGATGTTGCTTCTTTAATGGCAACACAAAGAGAAACGTTATCAAAGTGACATCAGATTAACCACAGGATAACTGGAAGAATCATGATTTTCACAGTTGTAATCAAGCTGTGGTTAAACTGTGATTCCTAAAGATGAAACAATATTTTGCTGGAAGAGAAACAGAATCTGATTCATGGTTGGTCTCCGTTCCCAGATTATTACGGCATTAGAAGAGGACACCACAGCCCAGAAGATGCAGCTTGGCTACAGGCTACAGCAGATTGCTGCGGCCGTGGAGAACAAGGTCACAGACTTGTGACAGTGGAGACACCAATGTGGCAGGAACCATTGGAACGCTGAGTTGAGGATCAGAAACTTATGGATTATTAAAAAGACAGACTTTTTTGATGTGAGTCAGCTCACGTGGCTTTTTTTTTATTATTATTAATTTAGAAGTTGGCATTAAAGTCCACATCCCAGCATCTTTAACTTCATTTTTACATTGTTTACATAATTCCACATTGTTGAGTCCAAAAACTGTAGGACCAAGGGCCCTCGTAGAGACAGGAGAGCAGGTGGACGCCTAAACACTTTTGGTACTGTTTGTGTGTTTATGAAGAGACATTTGAAGGAAAAGGAGGTCAGA